GCGCGCGGCGGGGGCGCGCGGGCCAATTCCAGGAGCGGGTGGCCGCGACCGCGCCCTGGCTGATACCGGAAAGGCTTGTGATTGGCCGGCGGCCGCCCCTATGCAAACGAGCTGAGGGAATGGAATTCCTCGGGCCGGGCTTACAGTAAAAGCACGTTCATTTCCAGGCACTCTCATTCATAGAGCCAGCGGGCGAAGGCGGGACGGGCGCCCCGCCGCCGGACCCAGCGAGGGCACCACGCTGCCCGGCCCTGCGCCGGCAGGCACCGCTTCCCCGGGGCCAGCAGCAGGACGTCCAGCGTGGCCGCTTCTCTACCTGGCTTGGAGCTTCGATTTTTTTTTTTTCTTTCTACTTTTGAATGAATTGGTTTCTTGGCTGGATGGTTCAACTTCTTTCCTGGCCGTGAACTTTTTCCCGGTTGTGCCCTCTGACAACCGCAGGAGAAAGCGCGCTGTACAGTGGCTTGTGCGTGGCGGTGTGCGTGCGTGTGTAACTCGAGCCTCGGGTCGGCTTCGATCTGCCACCTGCGCTGCGGAGCCGCCCCGCCGGGCCCGCTCCACCTGCTGCGGTTTCGCGGTGAATGTGGGCACTTGCGCGTCCGGCAGTTAAGCGGCTGGCGCTGGGACGACGTTGGAGGAAGATCGTCTCGCTGCCGCCCCAGTCGGGGCTGACTCACCGGGTAGATGTAGGCAGTGTCTGGCTTCGGAAAAGTGCGTGTCTGCGTGCGTGTGCTCGGCCGCTCCTCCACTCCCACCAAGCCACAGGATCACCCGCAAACTTAACCAACACCCCCAACCCCAAGTTTTCAGATGTGGAGAGCTGTACCTCGAGTGCCACCGACCTGGACATTTTCTTTTTTAAATTAGCGAGAGCGCTTTGAAAAGCTGTTTTGTTTTTGGTTTTTTGGTTGTTTTTGGTTTTTTTTTTTTTTTCGGTGAACTGAGCGTTTTGCCAGAATTTATTGCGAGAACATGACAAGTACTTCTAGCCCAGCCCTTCTCCAACTACTGAAGCTGATTTTCAAGGCTACTTAAAAAAATCTGCAGCAACATTAATGGATTTCTGTTGTGTTTAAATTCTCCACAGATTGTCTTGTTAATATTTTATGAAGTGGAGCATATGTATATATTTATATATATATGCACATACATTAGCACAACCTTTGGAAGTGGAAGCTCTTGCTTTTGAGGGCTGAAGCCAGTTTTGCATGATAAAAGTGTCGTTGTTTCTGGGAGACGCTCGTGTGTCTTGTCTTGTGTTGAGACGTGAGGCAAAAGTCACCTGGGGGGGGGGGAAGAAAGTGACAGACGACTGCCCGCTGGAACGTCCAAATTATGTATTTGCCGGTCTTTTTGCTCTCCGCATTAACACTCTAGAAGTGCACGGGGATTTTGCCTCCAGCAACTTTTGTAACAGCCAAAGACTGAACTTAAAACTCTCCAGGCTAGACCGGGAAGCCGCCAGTCTCTCCCTAGGCGTTTGACTTCGGATTCTGGTCTCCCAGTTTGTAAAGCACTAGGCGGTCGGTTGCTCGGAGCCCGGCCGGGGTCAGCGGCCGATCGGCTTAACTAGAACTTCCCCCTCCGGGACTGTTAGAACTCAGCCCCCCTCCCCCAGCGTCCCCGCAGCAATAAAAGCCCCTTGAACTTGTGCGCTGAGCTCCCGGGAGCTGCTTGCTGAAGACCCGCGCCCCTGTCGCCTTCCGGTAGGAACTGTTTACAGAGTCCTAACTCAACCGGCTTGTTGTGATGCGTATCCCCGTAGATGCCAGCACGAGCCGCCGCTTCACGCCGCCTTCCACCGCGCTGAGTCCCGGCAAGATGAGCGAGGCGCTGCCGCTGGGCGCCCCGGACGCTGGCGCCGCCCTGGCCGGCAAGCTGAGGAGCGGCGACCGCAGCATGGTGGACGTGCTGGCCGACCACCCGGGCGAGCTGGTGCGCACCGACAGCCCCAATTTCCTGTGCTCCGTGCTGCCCACGCATTGGCGCTGCAACAAGACCCTGCCCATCGCTTTCAAGGTACTAGGTCGCGAGCGGGTGGCGGGAGGCCGGCGGAGGCCTGGGACGTTACCGGAGGGCAGCGGCCGGACGGGCGGGGCCTGGATCTAGAAAGGGGCCGGCGCTGCCCCCCGGCGGCCCGCGGTCCTCGCCGCCGGGGCTTGGGATGCGGGGGTGCTGCGTTACCGCGGAGACCCTGGGGGCCGGGGGCAGCCGCAAGAGGGGCGGCTTAAAAAAGCCCAGAGGCCCCCCCCCAGACGTCCGCGGACCTCCCTGGCAGGGATCCTTAGCTTTGGTACAAAGTGGGGAAAGTTCTAAGCCAGCAGGGACGAGCCTGGTTCGTGCTTCTCTGGCTTGACACGCAGATGGAGGCAGGAAAGAAAAGACGAGATACTCTTGTGCCTTCGGGTCAGTGAAAATAAACTGACCAGAGAACACTGTCAGGGCTTCCCACCCCCACCCCATCTTCAACAGCCTTATAGGAATTAACATGTCCAAAGTCCATGGCGGGCGGAGATAAGTTTGCAAAAGTTTTCTGTCGAGTTTTTGCGAGCTTCTAGCCAGCTCCTGCCAGACGCCTCGGTAGCGAATCCTGATTCTTTTCCTGGAAGCCTCTCGAACGTTATCTCAGGCTCACCTCGATTGAGCCCGGGGCATCGGAAGGTGACGAGGCGGTTCCCGGAGCCGGGGCTGACCCGGCCGCCTTTCTGGGCGAGGAGGGGGCGGCGTGGACCGGGCTGCCAGGGCTGAGCAGCTGCAGAGGGCTCCTTCACTTTTCATCCCTGATCTGGCCCTCGCTTTGAGCTGCCTTTAAAAACCTTGGCCTTCAACTGGGATGTATAAACAACCCCGGGCGTTTTCAGACAAGCACTGCTCCACTCTGGCAGATGGAGCAGGAACGGGATTCTGCACTTGGGTCTTAGGGTGGGTTTCAGCACAGTCTTGTAGTGCAGTCCAGGCCATCGGTCAGTTCCTTTTCATTGAAAGGACTAAGGCGGGTTTAAAAAAAAAAAAAAAAAAAAAACAGTAAAGAGCAGATTCTTTTTTAAAAAAAAAGCTAGTAAAATATTTCTTCTCTTTAAGGGGAGATTAATATCAGCTTTTTCTGGTTCCAGGGTTTAGCGAATTAATGTTCATTTTTTTTTAAGTGCAGTCAGAGTTCTTTTTAAGCTTTACCCACCTTCCAGATTTAGATGATGATTTCTAAAACAAAACAAATGTGCAGTTGGCAATGTCTGTAGAGTTGCCTCCAATTTCAGAAAGTGAGAGGTTTTGAGGGGACTGGATGAGGCTAAATTAGGGCTCTTCCCTTCCAGTCCCTTCCTCCAGTGATGCAGATTGGGGTTGGGGGCCCATTTCCATTGTAAATCATCTGCACCCTGAAGCCCTTTACATAGACCCAGCAGGCAGGTGGGCCCACACTTCCTGGGTGAGCCTGGTTGGGCCCTGGGGTCATTTTCAGATAAACTCAGAGGAAAGGAGACATGTTGATCAGAAGCTAAAAGGTCTTTTAAGCCAGGCTGCCCCTGACACAGGAGGAGTTCTGGGGCATCTATGGCTCTCTTTGGGGTAAAGCTTCTGGATCACTTCTCTTTAACCAGGAGACCCACACCCAAACACGAAGTGATTGATAAAGGCTCTTTCAGGAGCCGGAGCAATGGTTCTTCTCAAGCCACCACACGACAAGTGTGTGTTCCTCTATATGAGCCAGACAGTACTTTCTAGCAGAAATCTCAATAAGTATGGAGGTTTCCTTCTAAAATTCACTCCCCCAAAATCGTATCTGTTTAACTAAGGGGTTGTTCATAGGCTGTTAAAAGAACAAGGCATAAAGACCTTGCTTGTGGGGGGGGGGGGGAAGGCAAGGGGGTCCTGAGAGCCTTTGAGGGGGAAGGGAAGGACAGACAGAATTCAGACTGTTTGATTAGGACCTGTCACCACCCCGGCCCCAGAGAGAGGCCCTCTTCCTGGAGGAGAATTCCCCTGCAGAGGGGAAGCAGGAAAGCACAGACAAAATTTTCAGCGAGGAAACCCCGTGCAAAGTTGAGGGAGAAAACAGACTGAACTTCAAAACGTGCTGTATTCTTTTGCGTGGCTGACCGTGCGTCAGGGGCCTCGCTGCTCTTACGTGCCCGTCCACATCCCTGGTCATTTCTGCAGAAGTGATTACTCTAAGTTTTGGGTTTTAGATAAGCCTCGGAGAATCTTTTGAAGGCTACCAGTGAAGAATGCCCTTCTCTGTAAGAAGAAGGAGAAAAGGGGAAACCACGATATCATTTTGGCGATATTGATTAAAAGCGATGTTAAGTGATTCTTGAAAAAAATCTGTTGAAATTCTAAGGGTAAATCCGCTGCTTTAATCTTTGAAGCCAAAGGGAGGTTTTAGACTATGTGTTTTCCTTAAAATAGATGATAATTGCCCGAGTTGTTTATCCTGGGCCTGAAAATCTCCCCACCACCCGCCCCCCTCAACTTCTCTCCTGAAACACCTTTGTTTTTTTCAGTGCAGGAGAGAAACATATTTTACTTTAGAGGAGAATATTAAACTTGCCTTTGTGGGTAGAAGCAGGCTGAAAAGCTGTCTGGTTGGCGTGGGCTTTCCTGTCGTACTGTAATATTAGTTTGTTTATGCCCAAGCACACCAGTGTCCAAAGGTGTAAACACGCCAGCAGCAAGTTCAGAGTTCTGGGGTGCGTTCTGGGGTGCTGCCGGTCATATTCCTTATTTAAGACAGAAATAAATACTGTTTCCCTCGGCAAGATCGTGGGTCCTAGCTATGGGGTAAATGTCATCTGGACTGTATTCAAAGTTCAACTCCATAGCTCTGTTGGAGACACTGGAAGATTAAGGGATTTGAAATAAATGAATTGTAACTGCAATTCCAACTGAATTAGAGTGGGTTTACAATGCTCATTTTAACTGTGAAACAGGCCAGCCCCCAGCAGGATTGGGAGGCGCGTATGCTATACAGGAGGGCTGATATTTTGCCCAACTTCCTGATGCTTTAAAAACAGAGAAGTAAAACAAAATATGAGATATGCTTTGGCCAACAAGTCCCTTCTTGTCTGTTTGGCCTGTGTTAAAATGTAAATGTTTGTGTCTCCTTACCCATTGTTTATAGCTTTTCATTCCAGTTACTTCTTTTTAACTGTTTGAAGTTAGATTTTGAAAATTGCCTTCCTTTTAGCAGTGAAGAAATCTGTGTCAAATTTGCAGACATGTTAGTTTTTAACTGAAAAAAATATTTTCGGCCTTGTCTAAGTATGCTTGTTCATGATTAACTGATAGAGATTATTAATCTAATTTTTCTGGATTTCGTATTCCCCTATTCCCCCCCACTAAAAGACACCCCCCGCCCCCGCCCGAGTTCGATAAAAGGCCAAATCAATTGGTTACCAGCTATCTTTCAGTGCTGCTGTGATATTTTAAAGACTGGAAGAGCTAAGTTCCTGGTTTGTTTTTTTTTTTTTTAAGTCTTAAACTCCCTCATCAACAAGCTTTTCTTATTTAGCATTGCATTATTCTAGACTTGTTCCTACCCAGCGAAGGTTTCTGGAGTTGGCCGGATTCTACCAAGGGTACTTTGGGAAAGATGAGAGAGGCTGGGCCTGGAGCACTGTGATAGTGCTGGACCTACTCGCTCGGCCTGCTTTGGGGTACACACTGGTAGCTAGAAAACAAGGCTTACTTATTTGAACATCTTTGCAGAATCTGCCTCAACAATGAGTTATTCAGTTTGGAAACCAGTCCCAGTATTCGTACGGCAGGTTAAATTAGATTCAAGAAGCCACGCTGTCGCAGGGGAGGGGGCACGAGGAAGTAACAGTTTGTCCGTCTTCCAGGAGGGTATTTCAACACTGGGAGCTAGTTCTACATAGGGAAGTGAAAATGCTGAAGAAAAAAAAAAAAGTAGGGAAATTTTCAGAGCCTAAAGAGGGCAGAATACAGCAAGCATATTTCGTGGAACTAGGGAAAATGGTAATAATAACTACACGGCTGATGGAGATGTATTTCAATGATGTTTTTGAAACAAAGGGCAATTGTCCTGTTACTGCTCTTAATTAAATGACAACAAGCACACTTATAAATGGGAACTAAATACCTAATTAGAGGGTGCTTGGGGAGTAAATAGCTGTGTTTTTAAATCTCCTTTATAGAAAACATGTCCAACAATTGGATGGAAAGGATTAGAGGGAAAGATAAAAGGCCCAGACCTTGTTGACTGCAAGTTGGATAAAAATAGATGAGGAAAAGGCCTACGGTTTGGTTTGTCGGAGAGCCTATTCTCCCGGTGTTGTCTTGGGGTTACCTCCACCCCTTAGGGTGAGTTTCATGCCCCTGTCACCCTCCTCACACCCAGGAGCTGAACATCATAATGAGTGAAAGAAGCAGGTGGACCCGGGTGATGGGCCGGGGGTGGTGGCTACTGAAATAGGATTTTTTGGAAACCCTGGCTTTGCAACCTCTGACAGCCGTCTTTACAGACAGGAAAAGAGGACCCCCAATTAGGCAACATCAAGAAGTAGAAGACAGGGCTGAGAAATAATCAGTGTAGAATGCTTTACCCTCACCCCTCCAAAACAAAAAAGATTCGACCCCTGGAAGGAATGACACCACCTTCTCTTCTGAGAAAGTACTCTCAGAAACTTCGGAAAAGACATGAACCAGCACCACATGGTTGACTTGAAATGCTGTGAACTTTTCAGAACAGAAAGGAGAGCACGAACATAAATGCCCACAAGAGAACATAGTTTCTAGAAGGACCAGAGGATGCCCAGGAGCTGGAGGCTGTTACAGGAGGCAGAGGCCGGCCCTGCTCCTCAGCACATGTTACTGCTATTAATCCCTATTACCAGTTTTCTTCAGTGGCACTGATCAGAGTCCGTTCCTCTTCAATTACATGAAAGAGGCTCCTGTCAAGGTCAGCTGGCTTTGGAGAAAACATCTATCAGCAGGTAGTTCTCACATCTCACACTCCCAGATATGAAAAGGCAACATAGTTCCTCTTCTGATTCCAAGTTTTGCATCAAAGTGAACATTCCTTTGAGGTCTGTGCACTTGGTGATTAGTAATAAGCAAAGAGGAGGGTTCTGATAATACTTTTTGGGGTGAGGAGGGAGAGGCCAGTATGTCAGAGTTCACAGTTAATAAAAAAAAAAATCAGAGGATGGAAGTGAGGAGGAGGAGGAGAGATTGGAGCTGCAAAGAGACACTTAGAATTGCTCAAGGGTCGCCAGCATTTCAGGTCTAAAGATGGAATTTAATTTTAGCAGAAATAAATTTTACGCACAGAAAGGTGACTCCGTGAGCGTCATCACTAGGGGTCCTTGGCGAGGCCATAAACCTGCCAGCACAAGCATCCTGGTGTCTGAAACGTGAAATCAGGAGCGCGTGAGAGGCCTCACCGCCGCGGAGAGGCTTGCTCGTCTGTGCTGCGTGACCACATGCAGCTTAGTAGGTGAATTTGGGGGAAATTTTTTATGATATGAAAATGTGCATTCAGTGATGCATGATGGAATTCAAAGTAAACCTTCCCACTGTGAGCTTAACGTTGACTGCAATTCCTTCGCAGACCACAAAGATGCACAACATCGTTAACTTTAGAACAATGATATCCACGAAGGCAAACGCTTGTGACGTGCAATGTGTGCCTTTGTCCCTTGCCTGGTGTTTAGGTGGTGGCTCTGGGGGATGTTCCAGATGGTACCCTGGTCACAGTGATGGCAGGCAATGATGAAAACTACTCAGCCGAACTGAGAAATGCCACCGCCGCCATGAAAAACCAAGTGGCGAGGTTTAACGACCTCAGGTTTGTCGGTCGCAGTGGAAGAGGTGAGTGCCTGTCAACAGAGCTGGGAACATGAGTATTTACATGGCAACAGGGCCACCTTTCCAAACTTCTAGAAGTTTCAGTCACAAGATGCCTAGAAATGCCCTTTCTTCTTGTCGTTATTGCTATGTCAAGCTCCTGGAAAAAAATATTTATTTAACACTTACTGTTTGAAATGGAATCTAGCTTTACAGGGTTGTTTTTTTATTACTGAATTGGTGCGAGACTGATTTGAAACCTGCAAAACATGAAGTGCGAATGTCAAGGAAGCCCTTCAGATCTTTACTAAAATGTAAAACTTGAAAGCGGAACACTAGGATTGTGTGGCTGGGGTCCTTGCTTTGACATGGGAGGGAAACCTGGTAAGGGGGTTCCCTGCCATCTGTGACAGGGGCAGAGCTTGGGTGATGGTGCCTGGTGATTCGAAGGGATTTGTAGCATGTGCTATTTAAATGAGGCCTGAGGCAGCTCATTGTTGTAGTAAGACAGGGCGAAGTGACGCCGGCCCGTCGGGTACAGTCAGTCTGATGGCAGCTGCTTTCCCACTCCGTGCAATTCAGATGCCTTCACACGGGGTGAGGAGCTGCACCCAGTGAACATTTTACTCGCCAATAATACTAATGACTGGGTCACCCAGGGGACCCGTTACCTCCTCACTAGAATCGTTTTGTTTTTCTTTGTCTTTGGCTCCGCCTCTAAAAACCTAGTGAAGAACCAGGCACTGTGGCCCTTCACCGTCACTTCTGGCTTCCAATTATTGTCCGATATCACGCTCGAACACTTCTCTGGAAGAGCTTACGTCATGCTTTAGAAGTAGCAGTCATACTAGATGCTTAACTGAGGGAGTTGGGTAGTTTTTCTGACGCTCATTTTTGTTTCTCGGTGTTTTTTTTACGAATAAAAGTGATTTTGAGTATCATCCAAGCTCTTAGAATACCTGAGTAGCATTAGATGACTTTGTGCTAGGGAAATAAAAAATAAAGGTACATGGAAACATGAGTAAACACCACTCTGTGTGAAGGTATTCAAAACACAAGAAAATCTGTGTTCCTCAGGAATTTGGTCGAGAAGGGGCGGGGAGTAAAGGCAGGTTGATTCTTTGGGTTATGGGTTTTGCTCTCCCAGAGGTGGGGAGCACTTTCCAAAATAGAATCATAGGCGAAGAAAATGAAAACTCATGGAACATATATTGAAACTATATATTCATAGTACTGACTGTGTCAATGATAGGGTAATGCAAAGAAAATTCTATCCACTTCTTGCAGGCGTGAGTGAGGCAATAGGGTATAAAAGCCTAAGTGATGAAGTGGGTTCACTTGTTATATTAGAAGTCCCCGCCTTTCGCTAAATGGAATTCACATTATGATTCAGAGATGTGTGTTCAGAAAACATCTTGACGCTGCAGACGTGTGGCTGGCAGGCTGGGTGAGAAGCCAACAGAAAACAAAGGCCCACTTGCCTGGGCCAGGCCCAGCAGCCCGGCTGACCATCTGAAGTCAGTTCTCGCGCGTGTTTACAGTTAGGAATGGACAGCTGAGGTCGCTTTGGTCGCTTTCCCAGGGACACTATGATGGCCGTAGTGTGCATCGAGCTGGGTCTGTGTGTCAGGCCTGGTTATAAAGTGTGAGAAACTGAGTGACCCACGCCAGTGATTTTCCCCATCAGGAGCTGCAGAGGCTTTTTCTGGCAATGCTCGGTCGGTCGGTGATAATACAGAACGGGATTTTGAAAGCAGCGTGCTTCCTTTCCTGGCGTGGAGGGCTGTCTCTCCTCCCTCATTGGCTGTTTCTGTTTTGAGTGGGTGACTAATAGGTGCTTGTGTTTACTTGGGGAACAGTGAGCTGTTTCCCCAAGGTGTGGATTGTTTGCACTTGGCTGCCTATCCGTGCCAGTATGCCCTTGAGTTTGCATAAAACCCATATGAGTAAAGGAGCTACAGCCCAAGGTGGGCTGTCTGCGCATGCCCAGAGAGACACCAGGCCGGGAGCATCCAGGGCAGTGTCCATCCTGCAGGGCTGTGCTTCCCGCGAGCACCAGTGCTGATAAGTGACCCAAGTACCAGTTGCCGATCGAACGCTTGACCCGGCCACGGTTGCCAGGTGTATCGTGGGCCTTGAGGGGCGCAGAGGCGGTGGCTGGTGCCACCAGACGGAATGAACCGCCCGAATCCCCTTTGACTCGGCCTCCTCATTTCTCTCTCTAGCTGTAAAACTCAACTTGATTGAATTATGTGATTTTGATCTGACTTTTGATTTTGCTCCAAACAAGTGGTTCAGTACTTCTTTCAAGTTTTCGAGTGTAAGTGTCAAGGTTTGCCAGATTTCTTTTTGCAATTTGCTTCCCATGACAAGGAGACCAGATGATTCTCACTATGTTGGACAATTAGTCTTAATCTTCTTCACTGAATCTTTAAAAGTTTCAGTACATTTTATTGAGTGTTCTTGAGACTCTCTACTGTTTTACTGTCTGTTTTTGAAAACATGCCTGAAAATACAGCCCTGGCTTGGACACACCACACAGTGGCCGAGAAGGTCCTGGCTCTTGACTCATCCAAACAATTCATGCCAGTTTCGCCATCTGTCAGAAGCCAGTGGTCTGATGTATTCTCCCAGGTCCTGGCGCTAAGTTGGCAACGCCGGGCAGAGAAAGCCCTCCCTTTTCTCTAGCCAGCTGCCAGTCTACACGGGCTGTAAAAGCTCGGAGACATTGCCAGGGGTTGAATATACGGCAGGGTTTTTCTCTGCTCCTCAGAACTGAGTTGTCTGGGCCCTGCTGGCTGCAGTCCAGGCTCTGAGCTCCTAACCCCGGGTTCAGCCTGGAACTGGGAGAACCTGCCCTTCTGGATTTTATGGCCTGGCTGACAACACCGGCCCCTAAAAAAGATTGGTGAAGGTTTGAGCAGCCTGCGCCTGGTTCCTTTTCTTCCCTTCCCTCCTTCCTCTCCTGCCGGTGGAAGTCATGGTCAGGGAGCCCCCGCCCTGGCCATTGTCGCACTGTCCACGCAGTGTCCCCAGGGATTCCCCCGGCTCCTTTACCCCAGCAGAGGGGGGACGGCTTCCACGAAGTGAGAGGCTCCCCTGAGCACACAGACTGTTGCCAGAACAACAGGCGCCCAGTCCCACCTTCTGCGGCTCCCGCCGGAGTTCTCTCCTCTCCCGCGAGGTGAATTAGCAGCGGGTTTCCGTGGGCAGCTGGGGCAGGTGCCACTGATCTTTTCAGCTACAAGAAAGTGTCTCGGGACTCCAGCCGAGACGTCGAAGAAATTTTAGCAATGAAGTCTGTGAGTGCTTCCGTCCCTGTGGCCGTACTTAATCAGTTGGAATCGATCAATCAGTGTATACGGCTTTAGTTAATTCATTTTAGAACCAAAGAGGAAATCTAGCAGACCATATCATCAACCACATCGTAAATGGGGGAGGAGGATCCACCATAAATTTCCTCTCGATTTTTCTGAGACTGTGATTTTTCATCTTCTAAGAAAGTCAGGGATCACTGTGAAAACCCCTGGGGAGCCTTTTCCCGAGGAGCAGACCCCAAGAGGCCGGGTGCTCACGCTGTCTTGTTCCTGCTGCCCTGCCCACACAGGCTCACATACGCTCTCGGCTCCCCGGGCCCCTGAAGCTGATGAGAGGGCCTTCCCCACCCCACCAGCCACACACAGGTCCGTGACTTGGGGACACCACCTTGGTCCTGGGGGCCAGCCGGCCCCGGACTGCGTGTCGTCGACAGCTGGCAAGGAGCGCTCCAGGAGGGAGGCATTCTCCTTGCGCGGGGCTGGCTGGCTCACACCTGTCCCCGCCACAGCAGGTCCTGGGCCTGTAAGTAGGGAGTTAGATCCCTGCAGACTGCTGGCCCAGACCGCCGAGGGTCCTGCGTGCTTGTGGTCCCGAAGGGAAGTGGCCCAGGCCCCCGCCCCGCCCCTCGTCTGCGGCGCTCCCACGCCCGGCCCACGCCCGTGAGGCCGTGGACGTCTCCTTCCGTGCGAACCCGGCTCGGCTTCTCGGTGGCATTTGCGTCCGTGTCGCCTGACCTGGCACCTTCGCCCGCTCCTGATGCTGTCATTAGATGGACCTCCTTCACAGGGCCTGCTGTGGAGTGTCTGTGTCTGTCCCCCCACACTCTGGGCCGGGGCGGGTCTGCGTGGGGTCGGTCATTTAGGGCGCCCGCTCCTTTGCTTATTTTGCATTGCTGGGCGGACACGAGCGGGGATCTTGGCTTGCCGGGGAGTCCCGGGCTGGGTGAGAGAATCGAAGGCACGTTTGAGAAGGATCGGAGCGCCGGCACTCTGGCCCGAGGAGACGAGTGCGGGTGTTGCTGAGACGTGGGCTCGGTGGCCCACGATGCTATCGTGGGAGCAGTCACGTCTGTCTTCATCACACCGGGGGTGGGGGGACAGGGAAGGTTGGTCTGGCAGCCCAGAGTCCTTCATGGACACCGCTGAAGGCGATGAACTGGCACTCAGAGCTCGGGGAGCAGATACTAGGCAGAGACATGAGTTGAATTAGCATCAGCGCTCCAGCTTGCCCACCCCCTCTCCCCTCCTGGACTGCAAGTGAGCTGTGCTTTAGGGTGACATACCTGCAGTCTGTTTGCACACTTCCACCCGGGTAAACAGGGACGGAAGGAAAACTCTGTCTCGCAGGCCCCTAGCTCAGGGGAAGCTCCAGCCATGGTTTCCTGAGTCCGCCCCTTCTGGGGGGGTAGAATCCTCTAGAGAGGGGGTTCCCAAACCCCTTTTCCATTTGCCCTGCAGCCAGTGGCAGCCCACCACCGTCCCACCCCGGGGGCCCCTCCGGTCCCTGCGTGGCTGGGGCCTGAGAACGGCTCTGGCGAAATCTGCCGGTGCCTGGACCAGACAGCTCCACGGTCCAGCCCTGCATGGTGTTCCTGCTGATTTTATGGAGTGCCAGGCGCAGGCTGATGATGGCAGGCAGCTTTCTAAAACAGAGTATTTGGGTGAACAGCGCTTTAGGGCTGACGAGCAGAAACTGCACTGCCCTCC